GAGGGTGTAAATGCAAGATTTTGTGCATAAAATGTAATGAACATATTTTGTTAAGCCCACAGATACCCTAACCTGTTCAAAGAAGTATAATAGGTCACCTTTAATGCCATGATGAAGCAGACACAGGATCAATTGGGGCTCATACTCCCCCCACACACACCACACATACACACCTCTTCTGTTATTCTCCAGCAGGAGCATGTTGTTCCATGCTGCAATTCTGGAGCTCATCATGGGGGATAAATTTATACACTCTGGATTTGGACACTCTATAAAACGGGACCTGGCAAACAGTAACTCGCTTTCCCTGTGTTTAATACAATGCCTTGGTTTATTTGTCAAAGGTTGTTTTATTAAAAACAATTGCATTATTATAAGAAGCAAGTGAAGGCATGCTAAATTTAAAACAGCAGTGTAACTACGTTTTGTAGTAGAAATTCAAGTGAATCTCTACAAGTTTAGAATAGAATAGAATAGAATAGAATAGAATAGAATAGAATGGCAGATGTCCTGCTGGAAGGTTAACCCTCTGTCCCTTCAATTCTTTAGTCTGAAGCCCCTTCAGATGTCTCTTATGAAAAGAATCCTCACAGCATGATGCTGCCTCTACTATGATTCCCAATGGGAATTGTCTGTTACATTTTCTAACACAGAGTTCATCACATGTAGGCTAAAAAGTGTCATTTTCATCTCATCTCAAAGCATCTTGCTGTATTTACATTATGATACCCGTTCTACCTATGGATGATGACAGGTGCAAGTTGTCATTTCAGTCAACTGTTATCTGGATATGTGTGAGATGTCCAAAGCTTGGGTTGTTGTTTTATACCATATTTCTACCATGTTTGTGTCTGTTGATGGACCCAAAATGCAGACAGGAGTTGGGAGCATGGATCATATTAAATGTTCTTTAATGATGAAACTAAAAATCACAGAGAATGCAGGAAGCCAGAGCAGAACAAAAACAACAGGAACCAGGCATAAAAGGGAAGTAACGGGATTTAACAGGAGAAACCAGCAAGGACTGACTGAGAATGAGTTGCATATATTCTGGGGAGGTTGATTAGTGAACAAGGAACAAATGGTTGATTTGGAACAGGTTGCGCGTGTGAGGGTAGAGGGCAAAAGGCAGGCTGAGGAGAGTGAGAGAGAGAGAGGAGAGAGAGACTAGTGCAGGGGGTGAGGGAGAGTACACAGGAGAGTAGGAAATAAATCTAACTGCAGAACAACTAGACCTGTGAAACATAATTAAGCTAGCGTAGCAAAGAATAACTAGACACAAAAAATAAACCTAATAAACTAGAATCACTCAGGAAGGACGGATCCAAAGTAAAACAGAAACAAGACAGATCTAATAAAAAGAAACCAAGAAACAGAGAATAAACAAACCTTAAAACAACACAAGATACCAAAAACTTCTGCTTTAAGCTTTCCCCTAATTTTCTTTTTGCTACTAAATCAGGTAACTTTTGAAGTCACCGGACTGGGGGCTTAATACAAATGCAAGCCAAACTTCTCAAACTTTGTATTCTTTTTTTATTACTAGATAAATATGTATTCAATTTTTGTTCAAATAAAATGCAATTGAAATAATAAGTTTGTTGTAATTTACAAAAGGAGAAAAATTAATGGGGTATGAGTACTTTTGCAAGGCACTGTAAAACTATCAATCCATTAAGCTAACAACCTTAGCAGTAGAAACGTCCACCCAGGTGTTTTGCACAGGGAGATTCAAGTATTCCTCAAACATGAAGGAAAAAATCAAGGCAACACTCCAGGTTTGTTTATGAGAGAATAACATCATAACATGATGTATAGCTCAAAAAAGTCGATTTTACATAATACTGCCCCTTTAAAATGAAGTGCTTCCTTTTACATAAAGAAGTCAGCACACAATTATACAATAAAAAGGTTAAAAATAAAAATAAATCAATCCACTTTGCACATTAGGCTGTAACGTCAGTTACCAAGCCTCTCTCTGGACTCAACATGTGTGGTCCAGCATTATTTTCCTTCTCTTATTATTGCAGGAAACTTGCCTAAGGTCAAGCTGGCCGCGTGGAAGCATGCGCAGCTATTTTCATGCCTCCACCCGGTTCAAGACCAGACTCTGGCTGAGTCGCTGCATGACTCTGGGACTTTGAGCCAATGCCTCCCTTCCAGAAATAGATTCCCACAGCTTGATGATGTTTGAAAAGACGGCATAGCACTGGCACAAAGGTCAGTCACTGCTTTTCTCCACAGATGCTGTAGTAAGATACTCAAGTGTTTGTTTCACAAGTTTGCACATTTAGTTTTCTCACACTCATACGGCAAGTCGCTCTGGCACTTTCTGGTACGTTCTCCGCAGGGTGGCAGATGAACGCCGTCTGTTTGGCCCATTTGATCGGACGAGTTCCGTGCCACAATGGCTGATACTTCTGTAAGGTGCTACCTTCTCCAGGAAACAAACTACAAACTGCTAAACTACATGAATTACAGTAAGTTTCTCAGGGTCTGAAGTAGCAGAGCAGCCCCAGATCTTCACTCAATATGATGTTCTTTCTTTAAAATGTTGTGTTAATTATTTTATTATCATTATTATCATTATTATCATCATTCGCTTTTATAAATGCTATTTGTTTGCCACAAAACTCAGAGTATCTAAGTATATTATATGGTGCACATAGTAAGCAGTTGGTAATTATTCTAATGCTGTATGTTTAGTTGTTATATACAGCTGTCATTATTACTACTATTATTATTATGGGTCTGTAAATTTTCTTGTCCTGTAACGAGAGTTAGTATGTAGTAATTTTGTTTTTCTGAAATATTATTGATTGCCACCATTTTCCCCACCTTAAGCATTCCTCTTGCCCTCACTTTTAATTGCTCGGTATTTGAAAGAGCGGCCAACACGGACTGAGTGGCTTCGTTCACTTCCTCCACTGCCATTGTTAAAACTACAGGAAGACTAATATCCTAAAACAGCGCAGAAAATCAACATCATCCTCCACAACTTCTCCTTCTGTTTGCTGATTGGCCAGGTAGAAATTCTACCAGAAGAATCCATCTGAATAGGAGAAATCCCAGACAAAACTCTGAAGGGAGATGAGAATCGAGTGGAATTATGTAGAAAAGCAATGGCACAGCAAGATTTCTTTAATATATTCAATGATGGATGAGTTATTTGTTCTGTCAGCTTTTTTTTTCATTTTACAGAAATCACCTCCATGAAAAAAAACAATATTATCAAAGTAATTTAAAGAACATGCTAGTTTCATTCAGTAATCCATCTTTCTGAAACCTTGTCATCGTCTATTCTCTTTTAAACAGAATCACACTCTGATTTTTTTTCCCCGCTGAAGCTCTCTACACCTCACCAACCCCCTCCCTCACCGCAGCCACCACCCCATCATGAGCCTGAATGCATCTCAGGCGGGTTGTTTCGTTACAGCCAGCACATCGGTGTCAGCGCTCGGCTCTGCTGCTGAGCTCTGAATTGTGCTGAGTGTGAAGCACCGCAGGCACGATAGCAGCGGCGGCGGAGATGACAAAACTGCATCTCACCAGGTAGCCGGAATGAGTTCTCACAGACGCGCTCTCTGTTCGGCAGAAAAATGTCACAAGTGGGAGGGGATTGTGGGAAGGCTTAAACTCACACAAGTCAAGAAGTTGTTGAAATATAAACTTGAAGCTCAAAGGCAGTGGGAGAGACAACTGGAAGTGACGGCTTCCCAGCAGATCAACATGTTTCATGTCTGTGTTTTGACCTAGATGACCTTTTATTACATCTTAGCTGCAGAGCTGTGATGCAATCAGATTCACAGTATTGCCCGAGAAGCATAGCAGCAAGGAAAGAGCTAACAAGGGTCAGGAACTGACGGTTGGCGGTTAATGGGAGGAATGAGAAGTTTGAATGAAAACCTGTTCCCTACTTGCCCTTTGTTTTCCCAAGTTGTTTTTGCCTGTTTACCTTCTACTAGCTTGAGTCGAGCTAATTTGTCTGTGAGTGTAACACACCTGGTTGGGGCTCATAGGAGGCAAAAGTTTGAAATAGCTAGCATAGGAACCGACCGATCCTAAAACAGCGCAGATTGTGTGAACACACTTATGCATTTTTATAGTCAAAAACTTTGAATGTAACTAAAAACAGCACTGTTTGATGTAAAAGATAAAAAAAAAAATGTTGACCATAAGCCATGAACAAAAAAGGTGATGATATGATACCATTCACCTAAAGATGCACTACGTTCAGAAGGAGTATAATATATATGCATATAATAGCGACGTAAGCTTGTGGAACAGCTTAAAAGTGAAATTAAAATGATGTCCAACACAACTCTCAATAAACAAAAATATGGAAAAGGTTTTCATAGCGAGGTCTGACTTATTCAGTTCAAGTCAATCTAAGTTTATTTTTTTATCACATAGAGATACGTGATAAAAACAAGCAACCGTTTTGTACAAAGGTTTTCTTAAACACATATGAAAACCCCAACAAATTTAGAAATGAAGTATTCCCATCACACACCTACACACTGAAATACTGCAATGACGCTATTTGTTTTCTTGGTTTGGACTGTGTATTGTTTTATGTGTGCGACCTCGTATTTGATAGATTATAACTTTGTAGCTTTTATGAATATTAAAGGATTAAATAAGTGTATGCTTTACCTCACTTATTTTCAAACTTGTAAATATGACGAATAACTGTGATATCTTCATCCCGTGTGTTATTTATATGTAATTTTATCTACATGTTGGAGACAACCAGACAGTCCAAAACGTCTCTAACTGCTCGACTCTCCTCGAGTTTTTCTCTCTTTTCCCACTTAGAGTTGATTAAGTTGTTCCGCAGGCTGTACTGCTACATTTTTACAACATTCATCTGCTGTTTAAGAGCTTTTGAATACACATTGATATTTTTAGGAGCCTTAAACACACCAGCCTACTGTAAAGTGACCTGCTTTATGGGGTTTGTCACCACAGCAGCTGTGCGCCATGACCTGCAGCGTTACCTGTCCAGGGCGATGGCGGTCATCGAGTAGATGCTGGCGAACACAGCCGCGATGGGGAAGAAGTTGTGGAAGCGGCAGTAGATCAGTCCGAAGTACCACTCGTTGTGCACGGCGTAGGCGAAGTTGATCACCGTGTTGAAGGCGGACATGGAGACTTCGGCGAACGCCAGGTTGAGGAGGAAATAGTTGGTGACGGTCCTCATGCGTTTGTGCGCCATGATGATCCAGATGACGGTCACATTGCCCACCACCGACACCACGACAATGCAGCTGTACGCGATCGCCCACAGGACGATCCTCCACACCGGCTGCACGAACTGGTTCCGGTACACGGTTCCGTTGTTGGTGCCGTTGGAGCCGACCGTCCCGTTTGGCACCTCGGTGGTGTTGAATAAAGGATCCATACTTGATGTTTAGAGAGCAAGGATCGCGTCACTACAGTAGGCTACAACAGAAGGAAGTCCACTATCAGAACAAACAAACACATATAATAATAATTTTAAAAAAAAATTTAAAAAAAAGACAATAGTGGAGAGTTTCCCGCCACTGCACTTTCCAATTAAACACAAAATTACACAACCAGTCCGCATAAAATCCCACTATAATGGACTGACTACAGGTGCGGGAGATAGGAGTTTCTGAAAAGAAATCTCTCCACTCTGCCCCGTGCGTAAAAACAAAGACGCGACTTTTGCGCGCGGTGCCAGGAGCAGAAGGAGTGCGCGCTGTCTTAACTTGGTAGCGCGGCAGAGAAAGCGCTGCTCTGTCTTCCGCTGCTGTCCTCCTGCTCCTCTGCTCCGGCTGAGACGCGGCGAGCCACTTATGGAGCGAGCTGACGCGCGTCGCACCGAGGGGCTGGCTTTGCGGCCATGATTATGGATGAGCTCAGGTGAGTTATTCATCTCATCCGACTCAAACCGCGCGCGGAGAGCCCGGAGGGATTACCATGCCTAAATACCTCTTATCTGATTTGATTTGGCATTATTAGTAGTAGTAGTATTCCCCTGCTGGCGACAACAAACAGAGCAAAGGCGGAAAAAAATTAATTAAATGAGAACATTAATATTATTAATAATAATAAAAAGTGAAGAAAAAAAGAGAAGATGTTGGCAGCAGTGATTTTGCAGTTTGAATATAATTCGAACTGCAGGGTGTTCCCTGTAATGGGATGAGGAGAAGAAGAAGCACCAACACCCCGGTGATCCCACTCACTGCCCCCTCTTGTGGTCTCACAGCATGAACCGTGTTTGGAAGCCAACGAGCCTGCGGAGAAAACGAGCGAAATGATGTCTGTGAGGACTGGGACACATTTCACGGAAAAAGCTTTTCTCTGACAACAATCTCGATCCGTGTTGGATAACACGAATCTCCTTCATTCAGGGTTCATGACCGTCGAACTTTGATACTTGTTGATACAAACATGAACTTCAATATAGTCATAGGGGTTTGAGGTGATAGGCCGACTGAAAGCAGAGCATAATTATTAAATTCATTGAAAAGGATGTGTGTACAGTTGATTGCGTACAAATGTGAATCTGAAAAGTTTGGTGTGCATTTGCACCGTCCTGTTTTCAGTCTGTAACCAACCTGAATCGGCTGTGCAGAGCTGCAGATTTTTGTTGCATGTTGTGACACAAGGTTTTGTTTTTTTTAACCCATCCTTATGTTGCACACTTAATTATTTATTTATTTATTTCCTTTATTTAACCAGGTAAACCCCGTTGAGATCTAGATCTCATTTTCAAGAGGGACCGGGGCAGAAGTCTGCAATACACACCAACCTGGTTACAAAATAAAATTAATTAATACATATGCACAAGTGTAAAATAGTAGAAAACAGTTTAAATACAGTGACACTGTTTAGCATCTCATTGCCTATTTTTAAAAATCGCTCGAAATAAGTCCAGTGAAACCAATTCTGACATCTTGATAATGACATCTCAATGATTAGTTAGTGACGCAGTGGTTCCCAAACTTTTTCTTCTGCGCCCCCCTCCCCCCCCCAGTGGTTTCCAAACATTTTCTGCGCCTCCCCTATGCCCCTATGGATTACAAATGGCTGTCTGGTTGAAACGATGCGTGTTACGGTGGGTGACATCGACTTTTGGGGGGGCAAAATGAATGTACGTAGCTGAAAATAGACACCAACTTCGGTAGCCTACAAGGTACTTGTTAAACTTAAGGTTCTGTATTGATATTAGTTAGTCATCTTTTAGCTAACATTACCTGCATCCAACAGCTTTACTCAACTCAGTCGGTTAGTTTGGAGGAAAAAAACTGTGAAAAGTTCTTTGCGTTTTGCTGGTTTGCTGCCGTGATTCTAACACAAACCTATGTAGCTCCGCACAGCAGCAGCAGGTCTCCTTCACAGGTGTAAACCCAGCACTAGCGACGTAGCGCTCATGTTGCGTTTAAAGGCGGCTCGGAAAAACAGGTTACAACATGTTAACAGCGAATTAAACAGTTTTAACTGCTGATAAAAGTGACAGAGGACACAGATATGGGGAGTGTGGAAGCCTCTACTGTATCAAATTGACATAGGAATAGCAGAGAGTTGCCCATTCTAAGGTAAAAACCCAGCGCATACAGTGTTCATGTTTTTGTTTTTTTTTTCATCCAGACGGCTTCCCGCGCCCCCCCTGCAAAGACACGGCGCCCCCCCTAGGGGGCGCGCCCCACAGTTTCTGAGTCAGTGTGTTTTTCGTAGATTCTTTTATTGTTGAACACTGTTGATAGACAATAGCTAGCGGCAGTGAGCGCGTCCGCTGACCAGCCGTTACTGTGCTAAAATTGCCGTTGGCCCTCCTCACAAACAAATATTTACAATATAAGTCAAACAACTGCTCATTCAAAAAAAACCTACACAAGCATCTCGTCACTTTACTCCAGCTGACTTCTCCCACAAGAAACCGTCAATATAAATAGCAGCGCTAATTGATATTTACCTGTTGACAGCGCCTCCGATGACCAGCCGTTACTCTGCTAAATTTGCCGTTGGCCCGCTGAGTCAGGAGCGCTCACTGTGCTCTATGGGCCCACTGGTGGCGAACTGCTGCAACTGCAGTCCAATGCATCTCCCAGCTTAAGAGTAGTCAACATTTTTAATTAAAGTAAGAAAAACAGAAGTCTTTAAACAAAGAAAGAAAAGGGAGGGGGTGCAATCATCTCTAATGTCCACTCTGTCACACATATATTATAGTTCAATGCCTATAAAAAGTATTCACTCACACCCAGGGGCGGATCTACTGGGATGGCATGGGGTGGCAGTTGCCACCCCAAACGAGAGCCTTGCCACCCCTGTTGCCACACAAGCTAGCGACAGTGAATTCAATAAATAGTTATGGCAAATCGGACATTAAGCGCATGAAACTCTTTTTTTTTCCCGACAACATTGAATGCAACACAATGTAACCTGACACCCACTGCTAAGTAGCGGGAAGTGCGAGAGAAGGACAGAGCGCCAGCAGCATTGATCGATATATATGTTACTGGACTGGACATTTCGTGGTTTATCATAAGTCACACATGCGCCATTTCTGTCCATTGAGTCAGGAATATCGGTGGTCAGGAAAATACTACAATCACGCAAAGAAAAAGAACAGCGGACGCAATGTTTAGCAGTTAATTCAACCATAGATAATGGTAATAAGGGCTTCAGATTTGGTGAGGAAAACGTTTTAATTTAAAGAAAACATTGAACAAGTGAGCAGTGGGTCAGTTATACTAGCCTAACTGTTAGCCTGCAATGGACTTTGATAACCTTAGCATGTGCTGCGCAGTTCGGTGTGTTTTGGTTCCGTTAGCATTAAACAACCCGCCCACCAAGTCAGAGCTGTTTAAATCAGCTAATCAACCACCGCGGTGTTCAGGTGAAAACTTATTAATAATCAGAATATAGACATAAAGCCTGACAACATAATGTAACAGACTGGATGTTCTGTTTTAGTGTTTTTGCTACTTTTTTGTCTGGGAAATGTTTGCTTTTTGGTGTTGATTCCCCTGATCGGTAATCTACGCTCTATCTGCTCTTTGAGCGATTGTCTGTCGGTTGCCATGGCAACGGGTCCGCGTAAAGCCGACACACAGAGCGAGAAAAGGCAGAATAGAAGTTGTTGGAGCTATTTTTTCTTTATCCATTTGAATTTTGTTACTTTATTCTTAAATTTCTATTTTTTGTATTATTTACAGAGTTTATTTGTAGGTTGATAATTGTTGATTTTATTTATTTTTTGTTTTATTATTTTTCTTATTTATTTTCTAAATTTAGACAGGAAGTGATGTGGGTCAGTCCACTTTCTATAAGCTTAGGGGCCTGGTAAAGGACCAGCAGGCATTTGGGTTTGGGGCCGAAGGTTTTTAACAGAGCAAGAGAGGTAGCATGAGAACAAATGAAATTTGATCTCTGTAATTGTTTGGTGAAAGAGGAAAATTAATCATCAAGATCAATCAATAAGTTTGGACATTGAACCTTCTTTTGCCAGTATCTAGAAACTTGACCCCAGTGGCTCAGTAGTGGCTTGGTGGAACTTTTATTGGATGTTTGGCTTGTCAGTCAGTCAGAAGTGGTTCTAGCTAGTTTGGTTCTTCACCTGTTTATCAGCTTTATTGTACCTTTATTGTGGCGCACTGCAGCCGCTGCAATTCCTAAAAACAAGCGACAAAAACTGAGCTAATCCCCTGTGTTCACAAAACGTGGTGATATTTATAACAGTCGTCCAACTACGGCTCCTACAGCATTTTTAAAATAAAACGATTGACCAATATAAGTAGAAATCCGCCCTTTCTTGCATCTTGAAAGAACTAACAGAAACTAAACTGTTTATAGATTTGCATCATGGAGAATTTATCAAACATCAGTTTTCTAATCTTTATTTTAAGTCGTATTTAATAGATATATCTGATAACAAATGATGGCGCTACTAATATTTTCGTGACAGATTTCTCCTTGTCCTGTATTGGGATAAAATGGTTTTCTGGACACAATGAATCACATAGCGACCAATAGGCGCTATGCGCTATGTCCAGTAATGCATATCAATTAGCAGGAGTATGAAAGATGTAAAAATAATTAACTATACTATATTAAATTGTATTTAAGCCTCGGTGTTACATGAAGCTCATTTTGAAACAATGCAAGTTAAAAACAATATTTCATGTATATATATATATATATATATATATATATATATATATATATATATATATATATATATATATATATATATATCCCTGCCACCCTCTTGCCACCCCATAAATATTTTTCTAGAGCCGCCCCTGCTCACACCTGGTTATTTTATCCTTTTATTGATTTCATGAATCAGTTATGATTCATTTAAATTTTGTTACATGAATGCTAGCTTTTCTGATCAACAAGAAAAGTACCAAAGAAATCATTTAACGTCAAAGTGAAAACTTCTTTTTACAAAACAATGACAAATAAGTAAAAGTATTTAACATAAAATGAGTGATTGCCTAAATAGCACAGACAACAGTTTGTTTCCATCAGCAGCAGAACTGTGGCTTCAGAGAACATTTTCTTTCCATCATGACGACGACCTGATGCATCCAGCTGAAGCTGAAATGGTTTGAAGACAACAAGGTGGAGGTTCCGGAGTGGCTTAGTCAAAGTCCAATATATGAAATATGTGGCCTAACTTGAAAAGGGCAGTTCCCTACCAACCTGGAAGAGCTGGAACAGGAAGGATGGAGAAAAACTGTAGTTTTCTACTAAACATGACAGATGGTCACATTAAAAAAAATATTTATTTTTTTTCATCTCAGTTTTAGT